ACTTCCTCCTCTCCCTCAATCCTCACCCCATCCACAACTAAGGACTCTATGAAGTTTCTCCTTCGATTTGCGACTGCCACCCTATTAAAAAACTTGGTATTCGAATCCCCCTCCTTTAGCCAGAGCGCCCTCGATTTTTGCCGCCAACTAGTCTCCTGAGCTATTGCTAACTCGACTATTTCACTCTTAACCTCCCCCAATCTTTCTTTCTCAGATTCGTCTAACTCCCTCGCCCCTTCCCCTCTTTCTAAATCCCACAATTCATGCATAAGCTCCCTCATTTTAACCTCTACCCTCCCAAAAACCTCCTTATTCCACCTAATAATATCTCCCTTGAGCAATTTGAATTTCTTCGAAAGCCGGTATGAAGGTGTCCCTGATACCCCATAGCTTGTCCACCATTCTTTCTCCTTGTCACCGAATCCTGGGCATTTTGGTCTCCTGAAAACAAACTAGGTTGGCACCCCACTCCCTAACTCCCACTTTGATGATGGCCCTTTTGTTTGGGTCATTCATCCCCCTCACATTCCATGAAAGGATCTTAACTTCCATAAGCGACAATAGCCCCCATTTCCCCACCTCCCCTAGCCGAGGTCCCTTTCTCTTTGTCACACCCTCGCCCCCTTCTCTGATACACCACTACATCCCCTAAGTTATTTTGCTTAACACCTTTACCCAACTCCCTCCCTGCACCATCGTAAAGAGATTGTTGCTCAATCTCCCTCAACAGTTCTAACACCATATCTTCCTTCCCTGTAACAGATACACCTAGAAACTTCCCAAAGTTTAAGAGTTTGTCCTCCATCCAATAAGACATATCCCCTCCTCCGGTCCTTGACGAAATTGGGCAGGCTTCTTCTGTATGTGCCCTTTCCTTGCTACTACCAGAGGAATACAAGACCATAGCATTGCTAGCACTAGGAGTTTTAACCTTCGAAATGGTCTCACCATTTCCTTGGGGGTCAACAACCTCTGAAAATAACACCCCGCTGCTATAGGAATGTCCAGAACCATCAGTAGGGTAGCATGGCGGAGGAGAGCATGGAACCCTTGGTGGCATATTAACTGAAGATACTGGTCCGACACTAACATCAATTGGGACCTGCTCACCAATCTCCCCAGAAAAAGAAGAAACTTTGAGTGTGTCCTCAGCACAACTAAGCCCAGGAGCAGTTGAGTGGTTGATGGAACCGGGACCCACAAAGGTGGGGGGCCGTGGATTAACAGCACCATCCTCTGCCGGTTTTGCCCCTGCAGCGGCGGCCATCGTAGAGGGACACATGTCACTGTGTGAAGCACCATGGCCAGAGGAAGGAGGAACCACTATTCCCATATGCTTAGAAGCCTTACCATGCGCAGCTTGAAATAAATTGGGCCCCTTAGGATCAATTCTAATGGTAAAGGTGTCTTCCATGCTCCGTAGCATCAGATGGGTAACATTTTGATAGTGCTGTCCTTTTTATGTTGGGCAGCATATATTATGAATTTTGTATCTTTTTTCAGCACCGACCCTCATTACATACAAAATATTTGTTTTCTCGCAGAATTATCTTCTTCGATATCAACCTGTTGATTGCTTTTCCCAGAAGATGAATTAGCACATGGCGGAGTTAATAATACATTAGAGATTTGAAGACAGACCCTAGAGTCTAAAGGTTTCAGGTTGAGCATGACTAAAACAAAGTACATGGAATGCAAGTTTAATGACGCATCGCATGAGGCGGATGTGGAAGTGAAGATTGATACACAAGTCATCCCCAAGAGAGGCAGCTCAGGTATCTTGTGTCAACAATCCAAGAAAATAGGGAGATCGACGATGATATCAAACATCGTATTGGAACGGGGTGGATGAAATGGAGACTCGCATCTTGTGTCCTATGTGATAAGAATGTGTCACCAAGACTTAAAGGTAAGTTTTAAAGAGTTGTTGTTAGACCAACTCTATTGTACGGGGCAACAGCCGAGGGGCACATAGGATAGTGGATTTGCTTAGAATTAGGGTTTGTAATAACCCATGAATCTGCAGGTTTAGAACTCAAGGAGGGGCCATTAACCAAATTTTTATAAACAAGTTGAGACGGGGAATACAGGATAAAATTCAAATTCAACTAAGATCGAGACAGCCACCTCTCCAGCAAATAAGAGGTATCTGTCAAAGCGATAACATTTTGGAAAGGAAAACCTTATCTTACCCCAGAAGAAAACAAACAGGATAAACTGAAACTCCATCAAGACCACGAAGTGAATCCTAGTTGTCAGCTAGAGTATCTCGTGACAACAAAATGCAAGAACTCTTTATTTATGACTTGAGCTTTTCACGAGGCTAATAGTAAGGGTGTCTTCCATGCTCCGTAGCATCAGATGGGTAACATTTTGATAGTGTTGTCCTTTTTATGTTGGTCAGCATATATTATGAATTTTGTATCTTTTTTCAGCACCGACCCTCATTACATCCAAAATATTTGTTTTCTCGCAGAATTATCTTCTTCGATATCAACTTGTTGATTGCTTTTCCCGGAAGATGAATTAGCACATTGCGGAGTTAATAATACATTAGATATTTGAAGACATACCCTAGAGTCTAAAGGTTTCAGGTTGAGCATGCCTAAAACAGAGTACATGGAATGCAAGTTCGATGACGCATCACATGAGGCGGATGTGGAAGTGAAGATTGATACACAAGTCATCCCCAAGAGAGACAGCTCAAGTATCTTGTGTCAACAATCCAAGGAAATGGGGAGATCGGCGATAATAACAGACATCGTATTGGAACAGGGTGGATGAAATGGAGACTCGCATCCGGTGTCCTATGTGATAAGAATGTGCCACCAAGACTTAAAGGTAAGTTTTATAGAGTGGTTGTTAGACCAACTATATTGTATGGGGCAAAGTGTTAGCCAGTCAAGAACTCACACGTTCAAAAGATGAAAGTTGCGGAAATGAGGATGCTTAGATGAATGTGTGGGCATACTATGAGAGATAAGATTAGGAACGAATATATATAGGGCAAAGTGGGAGTGGCTTTCGTGGTGGACAAGATGTGGGGAGCGAGTCTGAGATGCTTCGGACATGTGAAGAATAGCATAAACGCTCAGTGAGGAGGTGAGAGATGTTGGCAGCGATAGGAGAGCTAGAGGTAGACCGAGGAAGAATTAGGGAGAGGTGATTAGATAGGACATTGCACATCTTCTGCCCACCGAGAACATGACCCTAGATAGCAGAGCATAAAGGTCAACGATTAGGATCGAAGGTTAGAAGGTAATCGAGTGATTTCTCTCTTTTTTCTGGGAGAGCATGGTTCTAGTTTAGAGCACCTTATCTGCTCCCTCTTCTCCTTATCAATATTACTATTATTAGTCTATTATTATCATATTCTTCATTTTTATTACTCGTATTATTTTTTTGTACTTTGGTTATCTTTACTATTTTTGCTGTCAAAACGTTTCTTTTCTTCACTATTTTCATAATAGCTTTTTTACTCTTGTATTTTCAAACCTATTTTGAAAATGCTTTTATTGAGCCGACTGCCGAGGGTCTATCGGAAATAACCTCTTTACCTCACACAAGATAGGGCTAAGGTTGTGTACATCCTATCCTCCTCACGCCCTCACTTGCGAGATCACACAGGGTATGTTGTTATTGTGGTTGTTGTGAATGTCCTTTACTGGAGAACTGCAAACTAAGACTAGAACCCCCACCAAAGTCTAACATTTTACCTATATATCAATCAAAATCCTCCAGAGTTCAAGAATACTTCATGGATAAAGAGAGATTTTTTAACTGAGATGCAATTTATAGTTCTCCACCCATAAGAATTTGAAAGTTCTTCAAAATATTAAAAACTGATTTAGGCAATAAGTGTTATACTTCATTTGTGATATGTTGCTATTGTTTGTTTATTGCTTCATTTTCACTTTCTTGAGCCGAGGGTCGGAAACAGTCTCTCTACCTTCATAAGGTAGGGGTAAGGTCTGCGTACACATTACCCTCTCCAGACCCCACTTGTGGGATTTTACTGGGTTCGTTGTTGTTGTTGTTGTTGTTGGACTTCATTTGTGATATACATATATCATTTATTATAAAAAGAGATGCAATTCGGATCTACAGAAACAAGGAAAAGCTAATATTTGTCATTAGCACTGCACTTTAGAGCTAACTTATTCCTTGCTAGTGTTAATGGGATGATACGATCACGGAGCTTACTCCAAATGTTGGCATTTTAGCATATTAGACAAGAACAAAGAAAAATGTGGAAGGCAGCTCACTTGGGCATCGTTTGGGCAACCAGGAAAGAGATTTTATGATCAATAACCTTATCTGGAAGCACAACTCTTTCCTACTTCTTGTATATTTGTTGGTGTCATGAAAACTTATGTGAATGTCGAGATGCTAGGGAATCTAATCTTTCTTTTGCTCATATATAAAGCCCACGATTTCTCTTCCCAAAAAACGATTTTTGAAAATAAAATAGGTACAATCAAAAGTAACAACTCTAATTTGAGTACTGTAATATTGAAAACTAATTTTATATGGCATCAAAGGAAGCATAAAAGTTCACCAATGAAGAACAAGATGATTTCTAGGCCCAATGACAAACACAATAAAAAGTACTACCTTTGTTCCAATTTATGTGAACCTGTTTGACTGGACACGGAGTTTAAGAAAAAATGAAGACTTTTGGAATTTGTGGTCCTAAACAATTCAAAAAGGGGCCCAGAGAATTTGTGTGGTTATAAAAGCTTCTCGTTAAGGGTAGAATTGTAAGTTTAAGCAAAATTGTTTCCAAATTTAGAAAGGGGTCATTCTTTTTTGAACGGACCAAAAAGGAAATAGGTTCACATAAACTGGAACAGAGGTAGTACTAAAGTTGCCAGTGCTCTTAGTGACACAAGTACTTCTCATCGGCCATCTCTAGAAATTGAGAACTCATTGTCACGAAATGCAAAAGAAATAATGATTTGAAATATCTGTTACTTCTCCGATTAAGGAAAGCCACAAGAGGCAACAAAACCTCAATTAATCAAGTAAGTAAGGGGGAATCAGAGCCGTAATTACCTGAATTTGACTTTAATTAGTATCCCATATTTGTCAAAGTCCATGTCATGCTCATCTGAAGATAGACATCGATCAATAAAGGTTGACAGAACTTCTCAAGAAATAAATTCTGCAAGGATTGATGTTGACATACCTAATGAAACTTCTCCTGCAACAGCCATTTCTTGGAAATTGCGGCTAAAAGTCTGGTTGATTTGTGAAACAAGACTTCTTAATGTTGGTAGCCACCTTTCCTGCAAAATCCTAGAATCAGAACATTTTTTGGGTATACTACTAGTCTATCACAATGTGTCTGCACTAGAGTTAAACACCTTGTAATTGCAGCAAAGATAATAGAAAGATAACAAACTAAAGGTGGAATTTTTCCTAAATTACCTAATATTTCCAATTCTTTGACCTTGGTTTTTCCCAATTGCTTAACGGGTCTCTTCTCCAAGAACCTATTGCTTTTTTTCCTTCTAAAATAACCTATTTTTATTCTTCTTTTTGTGTTTAAATAACTTGTCATAAGATATATTAGTACTAGAGAACAAAAAAGCAAACATCAAACTGATACCATTTTGAATCATTTCAGTTTAAAGACATTAAACACACACAAACACATATCGTTGCAAAACTTTAAAAATGGAATGAATAAAAGTAATCTTTCTCAACTAAGATTTTTGATGAGGCAGTTCAATTATAACAGCTAGGTCAACCATAAGGATGACGCAACACAAGGATGGGATAGGAAGGAGAAACGCTCAACTAAGTGCTCTTCAACTGATATCAGAGCTAGGCAGGCAGATATCTCAATGTCGAGTCCAACCTTCGCCCATCACCAAATTAGTTGTAAGTGATTGGCCCAAAAAACAATTATGGCTCGCACATGAGGGAACATGTTGCAGACCAAACAAGTGCCCAGCTCTAACAGCTTCAGCTTTTAGATGAGGCGAGTACCTTTTAGACAAGGCAATTCACTCATTTAGTTGTATTGATGGATACATTTAAGGCCTTGAAATAAGAATAACATTGGAAAGAAAAGACAACCATGTATTACTATATGTAAAATGGGCCTTAATAAGCTCAATTAAATGAACCATCGTAGGGCTTAATCAGATACAACAAGCTGCTTATAAACATTAGACTCACCAGTTAACTATCAAAAATGCTAGAGAACCATAAAACTCTAACCTTTAAAGCATTGATTTCATCAATGAGGTTGCTTAATTTCTCTTCTTCCATCTCTTGAGTCTTTGAAAGAGATTCTATCTGCAAAAGATGAATTAGATGCAATCATTGTATATTTAAAAGGAAAAAAATGGAAAAGCAAATTACAACAACATACCCAGTATAATCCCACATAGTAGGATCTGGGGAGGGTAGTGTGTACGCAAACCTTACCCCTACATTTGTACCTTACCCCTACATTTGTGGAGGTAGAGAGGTTGTTTCCAATAGACCCTTGGCTCGCGCAAGCATAGGTACCACAATAATAACAAGAAAACAAGACGGGACAACACCGAAAAAACATATAAAAGCAGCATACACAATAAGATAGTAAGATGATCGAAATGTAAAAAAAAACGACAGGTATTCAAATAAGCCTACTACCAACCAAATGCGAGAGTACGTACTAACACTACCGGTATGAATAATCTAGACTCCCTAACCTACTATCCTAATCTTCGACCTCCACGCCTTCCTATCACGGGTCATGTCCTCAGTTAGCTATAGCTGCGCCATGTCATGTCTAATCACCTCACCCCAACTCTTCTTCGGCCTACCTCTACCTTTCCTAAGGCCCTCCAATGTCAACCTCTCACACCTCCTTACCGGAGCGTCTGTGCTTCTCCTCCTCACATGTCCAAACCATCTAAGTCGTGCTTCCCGCATCTTGTCCTCAATAGGGCCACACCCACTTTGTCCCGAATAACTTTATTCTGAATCCTATCTAATCTGGTGTGCCCGCACATTCATCTCAACATCCTCATCTCTGCTACATTCATCTTCTGGGCGTGAGAGCTCTTGGCTGGCCAATACTCAGCCCCATACAACATAGCCGGTCTGACCACCGCTCTATAAAACATACCTTTAAATTTTGGCAGTACCTTCTTGTCACACAAAACACCAGAAAAGCAAATTAATGAAACAAAAAATTTACTTTTTTCTGACGTGTTTCATACTCTTCTAGAACATTATGGTTCAGAAAAAGAATGGAATTGGCTTGAGAAATGGTGTCCTGGATAGCCGCTTCCAATTCCTCAATTGTAGATGGCATCTGTAGGGGAAATTGACAAGAAATGAATTAAACATACAGGCAACCTTGTCCTTGAGAACCTCAAACATTAAATATGCAATATCGAAACATCTAAGGAAATAACAGGCATACAGAATCGATTGATTAGAAGACAAAAGAAACAAGTCCTACCCATTTGGTGGACAGTCAAAAGAAAGAAAAAAAACCACATTAAAGTTGCTATGGAAAGCTCATTACAATGCAGTAGTAAATTGTCCCAACCTACTACTTGGATACACAGAAAAACCATAAGACAAAAGCTCTTCTAACAGTAACAAAATAAAGGGGCAGACAGATCTAGAAAAGAGGAAGTAGGCATGTGTAATAACCCCAAATCTAATTACGGATTATTTAGTAATTTAATAATAATAAAAAAGAATTTAATAATACAATAATAATAATAATAACTATAAAGGGAGAACATTAAAAAGAAGTGAAAGAAGCGGAACGCACAGAAGCAGAATGTGCAGAAGCAAAAACAAAAAAAAAACATTGTAAGAGAAAAGAAAAGAAAGGGATAAAAAAAGAAAAGAAAGGGAAAAAAAAGAGAAAAAGAGGGGGGAGGGGGGGATAGGGATTCTCAACCCAAATTATCGAGGTAATGATCCTTAACTTTTATATAAGTGCGTGATTATGAGAAGCTTTTTACGGTAGAAACATGGAGAAATTTTTAAAAATTGAGAAAGTCTAGCCCTAGGGTTCTGTAACCTAATTCATCAATTGGGCAAACGTTATCAAAATTTGATTTTGATTAGTATTCTGGAATCCTCCCGCCGAGGACAATCTGTTGGTGGTCATGGTAAGAGAATTCTGATCCGTTTACCAGATTTGACTTTTTTTGTCAACCTTTGACCACGAGTTTGACTTGTCTTAACTATTCTCCCGAGGGTTTTTGACCATTCTAAACTCGTTTTTGTGTAGTTTGAGGTGATCTAGATACCTGAGAGCATATTTTAATTTATTGAAAAGAGTGCTTGGATTGTGAATCGAGGTAAGTGAGACTTTAAGCTTTGGTGTTTGCTTTTCAAAACCCATTTTGAAAATATATTTTACCTGCATGGTTCATGTGTTGGGACGAGCGTGTGCTTGGCAGAATCGGTGGTCTTTGACCAACCGCACATATATTATTTGTTTAGAATATGAAAATTATTTAATACATAATCTGTGTTGTGGCTTGGCTTCTTGTCATGGCGTTGGACGTTAAAAATTATTTCTTCGTTACACTAATACATTTGGTGCACTATGTATGCCGTCGTGATAGATTTGGGGCATTGTGTATGCTGTCATGGACTCGTCGGGGTATTTGGTTAATTTCTTTCACTGTCGTTTATCACAAGTCCTTAGTATAAAGCGTGCTGAGATATATAGTGTTGTTGTTGAACAGTTGTTTGGACCTTATGGAGTAATTATATATTGAAAGAATATTTGTGCATATTATTTCTGTACTCGTGTATTTGTATTTTCTAACACTTGTTCCAGGAGTATTTAAAGTGGCAGGTTGAGGCTGTTACTGGGTTATATTTACCTATAACTCACTCATTACCTGCACGTACACGCAGATACTGTTGCTGAGGACGAGACTAGCGGCTGGCGAGTTTCAACTCATTATTCGTGGAGGTCGTTGTTTCAACTCTACCTTTCTTATGTATATTATTTCTTTTTGGGTTTGCATGTCCGATAACTTAACTTCTATAACTTTATTAGATGCTCCATGGTCTTGGTGTGGGAATTTGGTCTGGAAATCTATTATTTGACCTATATTGGATTTTATAAATTGATTATGGTTTTAGTTGGATAATTATTTCGTATTTAGTGATTATTAATGTGTTTCGACCTGCAGATATTTTCCCTTAGTGCTTATACAAAAAGGTTAAGAGTGCAGAAAATTGGTTCGCCTTGCAGGTGATGTTAGCTGGGTGTCAGTCACGTCTATGAGATAGTTTGGGGCATGACAACTTGTTCTCGAATTGAAAAAAAAAAAAAGCAAAAAAGTAAAACATGGTAGTAAAATCAAGTGCGGAAATAAAATGCTGAGTAATGGTTTTGCGACATGTCTATGGACTCGTTTGGGACATGACAGCCTGTTCTCGGATTGGAAAAAAAAAGGCAAAAAAGTAAGATATGGTAGTAAAATGAAGTGCAGAGGTAAAATGCCGAGTAATGGTTTTGCGACATGTGAGCTTATATGGCTAAAGCAACTTCACAAAGAATTAAGGTGTGGGAAAATCAAAATGCACCAATGCAACTGATCTGAGACAATTAGATTGCAATACACATTGCTTTAAACCCAATGTTTCATGAAAAGGATATAGAGTAGATTGTCACTTCATCAGACAAAAGATTGAGTAAGGGTGCATTACGACAAGTTTCGTCAACTCAAATGATTCATTGGCAGATATTCTTACAAAACTACTTCAAGGATCCAGAATTGAATATATTTGCAGCAACTTAGGGGCATACAATATGTAAGCTCCAACTTGAGTGGAGTGTTAAAAATTAGAAAATTATTAATAGGCAAGAATCTTTTCTTTGTAAATATAGGAAAGATTTAGAATACTTGTAATGGATAATTAGGAACAGGAATTCTTCTCCTTTAGGAATAGAAATTACTATCCTTTCCCTTTTTGAGATTACTTGCAAACACTACTTAAACCCGTAGTGTTTGAGTAATCAAAAAATTCATGAGAGAATAATCAAGAAATTCATGCCTAAATCTCTTCTTTCTTTTTTCATTACAAATTAAACCCCAATTCAAGTAGCAGTCTTATATATTTCTATTTTGTCTATTAAACTTATATTTTATTTCTCTAGCTAGAGAATATTCTAATGGGAACTACTTATCTATGTTCATTTAATTTATCCAATTACTGAGTTCCCTTCCTAATTATATATATCAACAAGCAGATGCCACATAATGGACGTAATAACACATTAAGGGCATGAAAGTTCTCAAAACCTCTAATTTTATCTTTCTCTTTTATTCTTTTGTTTTTCAGATAACATAACGAATAAAAAAATTATGATCAGAACCTCAAAGGTCAAAACATTTTTTTAGATAGAGAGATAACAAACTGTTATTAAATAGAAGCACCAACGATCCCTGTCCTTACAAAAAAAGATGTAAGAAGGAACAGTAATAACAAACAGGCTACACAAATGTTAGGTGTCCAAAGATTCACACAAAAATCTGTATTAGTTGGGAAACAAACCTCACAAAAAGCCTGCTCTAGTTCTGGAGTTATAATGGCTACTGATTCTGCATGCCTCTTGGCAGCTTCCAGTTGCCGTCGGCATTCCTCTGTCTCCTTCTTACCTAATCAAGAAAAATAACAAACTGGAAAGCTATATGGTGTAATAATTTCACTCAAGGCCATAAGCAGTAGTGCACGCAGAGTTTTGCACAAATGGTTGTCGACCTATTGTCACAATTCGACTTGTATATACAGGTTTGGGTCTAGGGCTATGGGGTGTAAGACTTTAGTTCCTATCTCATTTTGATGTTTACTTTGCATTATTTTTTAAGAGGTTTTACCAATTGTATATAATCATACAATTTTTAGAAAAATCTTATATATATACATATTTAATAAAATAATTTTTGGCGAAGCGTGTCTAATGAAACACTTGGTTCAGTAGCAAAGGCCACTGGTGTTAAAGCCCACAAGAATCAGGAAGACGAGATCCAGTCACATCATTCACCTAAGCATTTGCAGCCAGATATCAATTAGTAGGAAATAACAAACAATGTACTTGACTCCTCCCACTCAAAGACATGAATAAACTACCAAATCATGGATTACACAGCAGGTTGAGACTATATCCCCATGGTTCATTTCCTTAATTTTTTGGACCCCCTGTAAATTTTTCTTTTTGTCAGCCAGGCGAGATGGTCTTTCAGAGTTACTATATCACTGTGCAAGATGTAAAATAGTCAATTGTGAAATCGCTAACTACTGAAGATCTCTTTGCATTGGACTAATTACTGAAGAACTTACAGTACTCATAATGCAGAGATGCTTGCATAGCAAATTTTTCTTGGTGCTTCACATTAGCTTCCATCTCTTTAATCTGAAAAGATGAAAAGGAAGCGTGATTCACAATCATAAAAAGATTTTATGTCTAGTGAAGTCAGTCTCAGTTTGTTTGACTACTTTCAACTACCAGTAATGAAACGAGGCCCATATTCTTCGCTTGTTAGACTAATTTCAACTACAAGTCCATATTCTAGGTATCAATCTATTTATTAAGAAGAAAAAGAAGAAGAGAATTTATGTCCAATGAACTCAGTCTTGGCTTGTTAGACTACTTTCAACTACAAATAATGCTAAAAAACCCATATTCCTGCTATCAATCTATTTATTTGAAAAGAAAAAAAAAGACCAGATGCAACACTACAGAACAACAAGATTACATTTGATTTGCACTGGCAGACAATTTGCAGCAAACAAAATGAAAAATAATTCATACACCTTGCGCTAACATCAGCGTAGTACCTTCTAATCAACGACACAAAGCATCATATCTGCTGCTCTTTCTTTCTTTTTAATTAATTCATGCATTGCTTTTTATGTAGCAATAAAGCCACCAATTTGAGAACTATAGCCCTGTTTAATTTTCAGCAATATGGCATAGTGAAAATGCATGCTTGAAATAGTAACAATGACACGATAAGCTATTAAAGGATAGAATTTGAAGTGCAAGATACTTAAAGCCAGTGTGCTGTCCAAAGAGTAACCCTTTCTACCATTTGTGAACATACTGCCAGAGAATTTTTATTTAACATAATGACAGCGGGCCCTTGTTAATCTTGAATACAAACTGTAGGAGATTAAGAACAAATTGTGTCAGTGTTCATTATAGCAGCATACAACATCTCTAGGATGTCATAAAGTTCAAAAGGCCAAAAACCTTGAATCAACATCTTAATTTGAGGTTTCAGCTTATCATGAAATAATTCTCCATTATACATCCTTTCGCGAGTAGTTTAATCAAGAAATTATAGAAACAGCAAGGATTTAGGAGGAAGCACCTGAAGGGTTTGGGACAGTAAATAAATAAAAACTACAACAACAAACCCAGTCAAATCTCACACGTGGGGTCTGAGGTAAATAAATAAAAACTAAAAAACCATAATAATGCCACAAGACAAACGTTGGAGATGATAGACCCCAATCATGTGACTTGATTTATTTTGCCGAATAACCCTTATGCTGCAAACCCTAACCATCTACTATTGAGTAATAAATACAAAGTCCAAAAATCCTTTAATTTAATATTCCTGTTCTTTATCATACCAGCCTTTGTGTCGGAACTAGCTTTCCCTTTCTATAACATGGGAGGTGCAGATATTGGAATCCTTCTGCTTGGATCCAAAAGTAGGAATTTAGGGCATCGAAAGTTGATTAATACTCTGCCTTGAAGAGTCGCGGCTATGTTAAGTTTCTCACCAGATTGGATATTACCGAGCATTGATTTGTAGTTACTCTTATTTTTGTGTTGCGACATAAGAATTAGCAAGACAGATGCATCCCACACGCTAGGCACAACTTGAGAACCAATTTGATAAGTAACAAGATTATTTCTCAAAATGGACATTCTCATATACAACAGGTAAAGAGAGCGTAGCAACTTAGGGACCGGCATTCCTATCTCGAAAGTCCAACCCATAACATATATAAGATGGTATCATTAGGGCAGCAAATATAGCACTTTGACGCAGTACTTGTCTTGATTGCAAATTTTCTCCAGGAAAAGGCCCTTCGAAATGTTGACCTAGAAATTGGCATTTCTGTCAGGGCATGCCTTGTGTAGCTCCAAGATAACTATTGCTAAGCTCTCAACAAATGTAGTGAGGAAAACTATTGCAATTAATCAAGTGACACTTGCCTCTTAATCTGTCCTTTCTCCTTATTCCATTCCTTCTTTTCAAGTCCCACTATCAAGTACAAGAACTCCATTTCAGCAGACCCTACATCTCCATTTCCCAGTAATATAATATTCCTTCCACTCACACCAGCCTAACCTGACACAGACCACTCATTTTTTTCGGCAGTGCACAACTTTTGTATTTAATTTCTTCGATTTTCTTAGTTTATCTACTTTGGTTTATACAAAATAGGTCCTAAAAGAGAAAAGTACCTTCAGCCCAAGTTCAAGGGATGCCATGTTATGTTCAGCATAATTTCTTCGGTGAGCCACAGCATCAATAAGTAAATTCTGGCACAACAGAAACAGCAGAAATACTAAACTTCACTCGCTAAGGAACTAATCATAACTTTAGAGGCATCAGAAAACAGAAACATTAAAAAGAGCAATTGACCTTGAGTTCCAATGCAAGTTGAAATCTCTTTATCTTCATAGCTTGAATCTGGTCAATAAGCTTTGCAGCTATACTATCCAGGTCATCCTCTCTTTCCAAAGATTTCAAGTTTATCACACGCTGCCCTAAAGTTGGAGAAAGTTATTTGTTTTAGGAACACAAGATAAACAATACTGAACCTGTAGCTTGTATTATACATACTTCAAGTATAAAAGACTATAAAAGATACTCACTGACACGGCCTTCCATCTCACGCCTTCTTTTCTTCTCAAGTAGTGACTCATTTATAATCTCTTCCTAAAAGTGAATAACAAAATATACTAATTATGCTTGAAGTAAGACACATTTAATTTGTCATCAACAATTAGGACCACTTTCAAACTTATGAACAACGACATTGATGTTAGATTGACGGGAAAACTTAGGGAAAGAATCCCTTAGAGTAGAATCTCTTCAGATTGATTAATTAGACAACGGAAGAAAAGAGAAATGTGCAAAAGCGAATTCTTATAAGCAAGGAAAAGAGATTCGAAATGAAACACAGTTCCACAGCTAATATTATTTTACATGCTTTCCTCCATCCCCATCCTCCACTGCCAACACACAAGTGAGGAGACAGAGCTATCAACATGCTTTCCAGCACAAACACTTCAATGATAGAGTTTTTGAAATTTTTTCATGTTTACTGTTCGAGCTATTTCAGGTTCTGGTCTCCTCGTTATAGATTGGCACATTAAACCTTAATTAGTTTGAAACAAGCAGCTTTGATTCATATACTAATGGAGTCGATACAAATAAATGGAACGTTAGAACCCCTTTTATCTCACACTTCCTCTGCTAGCCACTCATCCGAGCACCTATGTTAACTCCCTCACACTCCAACCCCTGCCTTACAGTCTAAAAAAATACCCTAAGATACCCTTCAATCCAACCCAACCTTGCAATTTATTCCCACCACCCAATAGTTTATGGGGGCCAGCAGCTAGCTACAGTGAGTAATATAGGTTGATGGCGAGGCTACAAGGGGGTGGGAAAGGGTCATAGGATTTTGGCAAAGGGAGTGGGGTTGCAGGGCCTAAGAGAGGGTCTTGTGGAGACTCGGAAGGGGAAACCAAGGGGTAGGAATTCCATGACAGTCGGTCTGCAAAATTTCCTTCTCCATTTGTTGGTCCTGCAAGTACAATGACCAAATTTGCGTATTCACACAGATCGAAGGTTAAATGCTCCACGCTCTATATTACAGAAACCAAACATAGAAGCTGTAACTGAAGAAGCACAAGCACATTTTTCTGGGCATCCTATCACCCCCTCCCTCCCTTCCCCCACCCCAAAAAAAAAAAATTAAAAAAATGAATAATAAACAGATGTCCAAGTGTGAATTTCCACATACTTGCATATAAAACAACTTCCAGAAACAACAACCAAAGAAGAAAAAAAGAAAATACCCGTTGCTTTTCGAGTTTGGCACCTTGATCCTCTATGTTCTTCAATTCACTTTTAACTGCCCTGAGATTATCTTCAAATGTAGAAATGGCTTCTTCCAACTTAAGTTTCTGGGACTTGAGCCTCTCAACTTCCCCCGCATCCACATCTGAAGAAAATACTTTGACTAAACCAAAAAGTTTTCGGGCGAGGCATTAATACATTAAAAACAAAGGGTTAGTGAGATACTGCATAGCAAAAGGCGAGAGTGTTCCACTGATTCAACTGTGCCAGAAACATGACCACCATATCTGGATTTTTTCCATCTGTAATGATTTTCAGGGGTCCATAAATCAAAGATGCCCAATTGCAACGCCTCATCTGCTCTCTTGTCAGTTTCACGTGAGCCTATGTACTGCAAAAAAGCATCAGATTCCTTTAGTGTTAAGCTACTAGCAAAGCTAAATTCAGAAGAAAATATATTAAGTTTCTAGGAATAGTAAGCCTACAGAAGAATCCAGCCCAAATTGGTTGATTAGAACTTCTTTGACTGCATCAGGAGCGTCAAAGACTTGGTCAAGCCTTGAATGGATGCCTAGCATACGCATCTGTGGAAGATAATAACAAGAAAACCAAGTTAACATATAAATCAGCATCAAAACAGGAGGTCTTAGAGAAGCTTATACACACCTCCTCAGTAATTTTAAAGGGAACACGGCTCGGACGTTCATCTGCTACATTTAAAACAGGAAGATTAAATGATCGCATATTTTTAACTAAGAAGTCACGGTCAGCTGCATCTTGTGTTATAAAGGCCTGCATATGTCAATAAATAAGAGAACTGATGAGATGAGAAACAAATTTTCAATAGCACTAAATCAGATTAATAACTTTGATTCCGGAAACCTTTTTATGTCTCTGCTTATACATTCTACAGAAGTTATCATTTCTATAAGCATGCAATATGCCCATGCAAATGACAAAACACCTTACTCAAAGTTACAACTTAAACTAGAAAACAATAAGTGAATATCACTTAGCAATGATAAGATTGTTAAAAGTACAACTCCAATCAATGCTTTCTACAACTGCAAATCTCATACCAAAGCACAAAAGAACAAAGGAAAAAGGAGTACATCAAATTGAATACTCAAGTTTAAACTTCAAAGAGTGATTATACAAATCACCATATGTACCATGTTCAGATATTAATTACGAGCTAGAAGATACCAAACAAGCAGAGAAAAGATGCAAGAAAGACAAATCTGCTTGGGCCACATATACTAGTATTGGAGACAGAGATGACGAAATCATTCTTGTTAATTACCTTCCAGGCGTAGAATGGTACGTGATCCTCTAGGTAATCTGCATGAATCCGATTGGAAACATTGACCTGAGTTTTCATTTCAGCAAAAGTAGTTAATAACCTTTTTTATTGTTAGAAAAGTAGTTAATAACCTTTCAGATCCATAAGTATCTAGTAGCAAAAGCCTAATTGTATACCTCAAGAAGAACTGGACCATATACAGATTTATTAAATTGATGTTGATGCTCCTGAACCCAATTGTAAGCTTCAAATATCTTTTCAACACCACTACTCTGTAAAGCACGTAATCTTTTGTTGTTTGCATTCTCCATCTCCTTCAATCTGCAGAGCAATGCAAGAATGTGTAAGAGCTTTCAGTAATTTTACAATACAATGACCATAGCAACACAGTCCTGATATTTACTTATCAGAGCACTGCCTGAATGCTGTCCTATTCCAATCAAGGGATCTCTCCATTTCTGATTTCTGAGACCTTTGTTCTCTTGCAGCATCTTGCAGCTCCAAAATTTTAGAACCCAAACCATCCTGTAGAGTTGACCAGTTCAGCAACATAAATTTTGCAGTAGGCAGAGACCAGTCAGGAGTATCTACATAAAAAAGGCTACTCGAGAATAGTTAACATAAGATTTCCTTGAAATTCAATAATCAATCACATACTAGCCATCCTTAGGCACGTAACCTCATATCTACGGATGTTGCTTTAAAGCAAGTATAGTATAAGACGATGCAGAACACCAAAATAAGAAGCCTACAATTTTATCTCTAGGAGGTTCATAAGGAGGAAGATTTGCAAGCTCCAATTCGGCAGTTCTAAGATCTTCTTGAGCTTTCGAAATTCTAAGTTGACGAGATTCCTCTTGCTTCTTGAAGTCATCCATTTCATTATACTTTCCACGCACTTGAACATCCTGATATATCATAGAAAGAAGTAAAAGTGAATACTGTAGAGGAAAAAGAATTAATCAAAATGATAAACTTATTGAAGCTCTGACAAAATACCAAACGATTGTCCTGATCCAGAAGTTTCATACGCTTGTTGGCATTGTCACCCAACAGGCCATTTATTTTTTTGCATTTAGCATCTCGTTCTGCTTTCTCTTGCTTCTTTTCCCTGAGATCAAACTGTTAAATTAGGAAAGAAAAAAAAAACGAAGGCAAAACTAGATATTTTAAGAAAGAAAGGTGGAGACACAAATTGAAATTTACTTTTTGATCAGTATCAATTTACTAATACAGTGGGGTGCCTTAAAATCTGAAATTTTCTAATGACAGGCAACTGCAAATTTCCCACTACCGAAATATGAACAGGATATTGAAACGAAGAGACAAAATCTCTAACTCAAACTATAAATTACACAACAAGCTCACATACTCTATAGGTTCCATGAGTTCATTCAAACTCTCAGCAGCTTCATCCAGCTTCTTTTTGGCATCTTGTTCTTGGCTTTTGGCTTCCAGAAACTCAGCCTTCTTAGCATCGTACTTCAGCCATGGCAATTTCTTTTTCATGGTTTCAGCCTATAAACATATGAACAGCCAAATTTATTTTATTTTAAATTTTTCTTTTGGGTGGGGGGTGGGGGTGGGGGGGATCAGTAGGACATCCTACAAGCCATATGAATAGTCAATTAACAGCTCTCACCAAAGCTTAGGAAGAAGCTCCACACTTACCTGTGCTAGGAGGTGCTCTCTCTGACGGAGACGCTCGACATCTCTTTCAAGTTGAGAATTGACTTCCCTCAACTGATCCAATGTCTCTCTGCCGCTCTTCACAGTCTAAAACAGATAATGAAATTTTATTCAGTTTGAATTGTCAAAAAATAAGGCAGGATGTTTGCTTTGTTCACTAATAAACGCTTTGCAATAAAAATTTCAAAAGCTTCCACAAATTGGTAAGACAGAACTGACTCGTTCAGACTTCTTCAGCTCCTCACTCTTGCTAATAAGATCTCCATGCTGGACTGGTAGCCGAGGATCACCCACAGCTTTTTCAGTCTCTTCAAGGAGTTGAACAGGAGTTAACTTTGCAAATTCACAAACCCTGTCTTGAGGTAGAAACTGAGGTCCTCCCCATTGAATTAGGATATATCAGCCAATAGATCATAAAGACAAGGAAAAGAATCTCACAAGAGAGAAGTAAACTCTTAATTTAGTTTATGTTCTCTAACTTTTTAAGGAAAAACATACTATACTAGTTGAAAAAAGAATAGTATTTCCTCTATTCACATCAAAACGAATAGCGTCTTTCTGCATATGGAAAACATTTAACTTTCCACTTTCCATTTTACCCTTAATGACATACTTTTATAGCCACATAAATGTCATGGGCTGTTTAAAACCACAAGTTTCAAAAGTCTTTCTTTTTTTATTAACTATGAGCACAATCAAACAATGTCGCACATAATGGAACAGATGAAGTACTTAAGACAGTTAAAAAGATGTTATAAAAATTGTTTGAAGGGCTAGAGATAAACAAGGAAGAGACAAGCAGATAAAAAGAAAAAGCTTATACAAAAAGTCAATGAGACCAGTAAGTGAAAAATGTAAAACTAAAAGGATAATGGGAAATTTTGTGAATACATCAATGGTCTTCCTTCTTAGATACTTCTGATCAAGGCACAAAACAGTAACCAAATAAGATGATAAAAGAAGAGACTTTGTGTAGCGTGAATTAGAAGGAATAGCAAGGACTCGGTATGACATCCACTTAAGGCCAAGAGAAAAGTACATAGTGTCATCGGATAAGGTAGGTGCTTCCTAAACCTAATCCTTGAGATTCTCCTGACAGCATAAATGGCGCAACTGTACCACAATGGTAGAAGGCTTGAGTATGTAATGCAATTAAAAATTATCACCTACATGAAACCTCCAGAGATAACTCTGGTTCAAACAACTGTGAATTGCCATGCCAAAAAGGTTCGAGAATAGAGTAGCAGCCGTCAGCAAAACCAAGTTAAGTTGTTTGTCTTAGCTTTCTTATTGGTGTAAACGCGGATTTTATATAAGATGGTTAAGCTCATTTACTGCCTTACAAGATAATTCTGGTTACTGCAAAATGTACATAATCAACACCTGAGGGAGCATAGTTGTTTTTTCTTCTACTGTACTAGCAAGTCTGGTGTTGTTTTTGGCATCTACATGATACACGCACAGCACCATCTTATTGCTGGATATTAGTAAACCTTTTATTGTTTGCTGATTAAAAAAAAAAAAACTGTGATACCTTTCTATTTAAGGATTACATGCACATTAGCACTGCACATGTTATAAGAGAAAATTCATAATAATATTTAGAAAAGAAATTCACTTAGCAGATTATAACATATTTAGTCAAAATCATTCTGTGGGGAAAATTACTTCTAAAGAGTTGGTAGTAATCCAACTGATATACTATATAAGTTGAGAATTATACACTTTTCAAAAATAAATAAATAGATGAAAAAAATTGATAGTTTCAGGGCGAACAGTAAGCTTCCAATTATTTAGAAACATCTGGTTCTGCTATACTAATCAATAATATCTTGATGATATACAACCAAAGCAACTGGCGGTCAGTGGTCACTATATATCAATATTGTATAAGTAAAACAATAAAAGATCATTGGCAAGAAAATATCAACATGCTACATCGTCGAAGTGTTTTTTTTTTCTAAAGAAGTAGCAAAATTGATATTTTAATGGAAATTCTCAAAAATCAATTTTCCACGAAGATCGGAGTTTAAATTAGAGGAAATTCCTTTTTTCGAGACTGGTAAGTAGTAATTTTATAGATGACAACAGCCACGCACTATGATAGTGCTTGTGACTTACAAGTTCTGGGATCCCCTATACAAAACAAAAGAAAGGGATCCCATCTGTAAACAAAAGAAACTCTAATCCTTTAGTGAGCTAGTAGAAAGCCAAAAACCACAAACATCTGTACTTTAGCAACTGCATCAGGAAACTCTTAAAACTCCTATTTTAAAAACATTCGCATCATGCATGATGTAGAAGCCATGATTGATTTTTAAGCACAGTCAACCTGAAATGGTGCTATACTGCACATACCAGCATTCACTTAATGCTGGTAATTAATAAATTTATCCTTTACGGATAAAGAAAAATATTCCCATCATGCAAGAAGCAAACAATTTTCAATAATGGGAGTTGAGAAAACATGGTCTTGTTAATGTATTTCACACTTGACTTTAGAGATCCCTCTAGTGTTTTTCATATTTACATCTTTTGGGAGAGGGGTGGATTTGGGTGGGGATAAGTAGGTTCCAATAATGTTTTGGCAACATAGCATATGTGTCCTCTATGTTTAACATCCAAAAGAAGATGACAAAGAACTCACTTGAGTCAAATTGTTGACTTGGATATTGAACCTCTGAATTATATCAGTTACGTTCTTCTTTGGCACAGCTTTTCCTGAAACAGAATAAACACATGTAGTGACTGCAAAAGGCATTTCACGTTAATTTACATTTTCTTTTCAACTGATTAACAACATCCTTATCTGATCCCCAAAAGTGTTTATCCGCCCAAAGAGAGACATGCCATTACAGAAAGTAGAATAAAGAACCTACTTACGATTCAAACAACGTCAACCAAACATATGTCGGAACTTCCAGTTGAGGAACAGGAAATTCTTAAGATGATAATAAAAAATATTGACAGAACTGGGAAGAGATCTGCAAGTATATATAATAGGAAGAAAAATGATTGTATCTCGCTAGTACAACCAGCTCCTGGCGACTAGCTTACACCAAATAGAGGTACAATTGAAAGCAAATAATTAAGACGNTTTAACAATGTTTTTTGTCCAATCATTGTTGTCATGTGGCTTGGCAATTGTAGTTCTCAACAAGTTTCTAATGGGGGAAATCACATAGGATTTTGGCACATAAGAAGGATATATAGAGATGAAAACATGGCTCCGGAAGTGTTCATGTTTTTTTTTTTTTTTGATAAGGTAAATTGTATTAATCAAAAGGGAGAAAAAAACGACGCCCAATCTTCTACACAAGTAGGTGTTATATGGGTGCACCAAAAAGCGATCAAATAAAAGGCTATTCTTTAAGTTGTGATGTTGTACTCATCTAAATAGCGCCCTTGGAATATTTGATTAAAGCAATATAGTGAAATGCAATGAAGCCACATCAAAGTAACAGCTTTTGATCTCCTCCCTAAAGTACCACCAAAACAGAAGTAACAACCTTCCAATCTCCTTCCTAAACTACTGCCAAAGCTTTGAACTACTTAAAAGCCATTCATACCCTAAGCAGAAGCAAGACAAACTCCAACTTCATAAACTTGAAGCATAACAGACTGAAAGAGGAGGGCAAAAATTGCAAACAAGATTCACTATTTGTTCTATACAAGATGCAACAATTTGAACCTAATTACACAAAAGAAGAATATTCATAATTAGCCTAACTAAAATCGAGAACAGTTCTGGTAGGAATCTTAGCCTTCTAAGGAAAGATGGCAAAGGAAAGGGGAAATTGGGATAGAAAAAAGAGAGTTGAAAAGGATAGCACATGAATACGCCCAAGCTCCTAAATTTGAAATCTGACAATCAAAAGATAAAAAAGATTAAGGGTCGGAAAATATGAATCATCCATGTCGAAAAGAATGAGAAAATTCCAGGAAATAGAAGCCTTCGTTTTCACTCGTATGGATAAATGCAAGAAGCCATCCACGTATCCTCTTAATCTATAACATATTATGACATAAAAAGAGTAAAACAAATCAGAAAGACTTGTATCATTCGAGTGGCCCGTCATCACAAATATAGCAAGTTAAACAGCTTTCTAATTGAAGAACATATTATAGATAAAGAATTCTTTACCATTAAAAATCCACTCAGATTTGTTCCGTGTATCTATTTTCCGCGTGATAATTAACTGTTCCTCTTTGGTTTCCCCTCTCAAGGAAATCTTGATGTACCCTGACTCCTCCCCGCGTTTTACAAATGCTCCAATACTAGAAGCCCTCCCCAAAAGCTGCAGTGTAACACAATTTTCATCTTGGTAAAAGTTCACCCATGAAATTCACATGTAGTAATAATTTTTCATTTACTTCAACTTCCACTTACCTGAGGCTCACCACCAAGACCAAGTGCTATCGCACAGACTAGAGAACTCTTTCCAGAGCCATTTGGTCCAATTACAAGATTTAATCGGGAGCCCGGTTTGCATGTCAACTTGCTGAACGTCATGAAGTTATGAAGCTCAATCTCAGTTATGTTTCCTGGCATATAATCATCTTCTCCCCTGCAGATTATAACCAAAAAGATGCAAAATAAGCATCCCAAACAATTAAAGCTAGTACTTTAATTCAACCTCCCTGAAATTAAAAATGAAATCCACAACTATAACTAGAAACATGTAAAATAAAAGACTTTTGGAATTGGTTTTATACGTTTTTAAGTGAAATTATATAACAAAAGGTCGAATAAACCCTAACTATTACTCAAAATAGGAAAAGTCCGAACTATTTTTTCGAAAAGTACCTAGAAGGGAAAAAAGGAGTTATGGATCACAAGAAAGCAGCGAAGGGCCAAAGTTTTAAGTAGTGTAAGTGAAAATTGTGTAGCACGGACCTGGTGATTTTGGCGCGTTTAGCGCCACGTTCCGACATTAAAGTGAGGCGTAGAGAACGAAGGAGGAATTGAAGAAATTAGTCGGCGAGAAAACCGCGATTGAAAGCTCGCTAGGGTTTTCTTCGCCGGAGGAAATCTCGCCGGTGACTGGTGAAAGAGAGTTGGAGACTGATAGTGGAAGAGGAATTTGGCGCCAAAGGGGAAAACTTGTGAGATGAGAGCATATATTAATGCTTTGTGAATTTGTGGGACCTTTTACTTACGTGCCAGAAAAATATTGGTGCGTCTGTAAGATTAATAATATAATATTGGCCAATATCTGGAGGGAAAATAAGTTGTAAAAAAAATAAAAACGAGTTTTAACCACAAACTTTATTATTCGAAAATACAACAAAACCATTCGAAATATATTTTCATACAATTGTTACAAATGTTTCTCAAAATATATTTGTTTGATAAATAACTTTAACATGTAATTTATGTTTTAAAAAAGTTCAAAACCTTTCTGAGGATTAAACCAAACAAGATAAAAAGACCACCAATGGTATATTAGAAAATTACGAAGAAAAGAGAAATCAAGAGAGAACAATAAGTATAACACAAAATAGAAACTGAAAATCAGTAAGAAAAATGTTTTTCCTTGTGCGGTTCTCAAGTACAATTGTAGATGTATGTCATCACCCACCACATCATCATGACACATAGGTGTCATTTGACATATATTAATAACATGTAAAAACTTACATATGAAATAGACTAGCACATGTGAAAAGGTTCTAGAGAAATATGGAAATTTTTCATGAAATACCTTAGAACCCTATAAATTGCTAGGAAAGTCCTTAAAATATGCTAGTTATCTAGAATATTCTAGAGAACGGACTTACTTGTAAATAATAAGGGTCTTGTATAATAATTATTATTTACTCACTGGCCCCTATAAAACTAGTATATAAAAGGGGTTATTTATTTGTAATTCACCAAGTAAACAATTCAAGTTCTCTCTAATACAAAAGGTTCTTTTGGCAAATTTTCTTTGTCTTTCTTATCTAGCATTCCCTTAGCGATCTTGAGTGTAATATTTTAGGCTGACTTGGCATAGCAAAATAGTGATCGAATTGTGCAAGATCGTGTGTCGCGTATGCGCTTAGTTCAAGACTAAGGATGTGACATGCACACCCTTTAAACTTGCCCAATTTTTTTTATTTAGACACTTGAATTATCCTATGTTCCTGTTGAACACTAAACTCAAGCTTTAATATGCCTATTAGACACGCACTGCTGACATGGCAGTGTGCGTGAACCTCACCTCAAAAAAGAGCGTGAATGGCCAAAGTTTTTATTTTTAATCTTTTTGTCTCTTTTCCTTCATCTTCTCTCTTCCCTTGACAAACATTTCCACCACCAAATCTCCGCCAGTCTGCCATTACCGCATCACGTGATGCAAAAAGGGAAGCATACCATTAAGCAAATCTCCTAATTCAATAGCATAAAAACCAAATATCTAGATTATTTTATTCTCTTCCTCTCTCATTGTTAATTTTGGATATACTTGCTTGTCGTTGATGTAAGTCCGGCAATGTTACTACCATTACAAAAAGGAGTAGTAGTTTGAAATTGTTAAATCTGGATAGATTCAATGCTTATTTATATCTACATTGAATTTTTCCTTTTGGAGTTTTAAGGCACAAATTGTTTATCCGTAAAACGGTACAGTTGAATTTATACGTGGTTTCTAGACAAGTGAATTAGTTTGATCATAAAATAATTTTTAAAAAATGCATTATACTTAGTCTTGAAATGAAAATAAAATCACAAAAAATAATGATTCGGGGACAGGGCTTCCCGACACAATAGTGATGAAACCAAGGAACAAGAAAGTAAAATTGTATAAAGCTTTTTATTGATTATAGCGTAAGTTTGCCAGAAAAATCATGTCATTTACAATGATAACAAAGCTCACTGTTTGTAGTTGCACCTAAGGAACAAGATTCTAGGATCATGCCTTTCTTTAATGTCCATTAAATGCTACCGGGCGGAGGGTATTTATTGCATCTTTATGAGCGTTATTCTTTCCGGTGACAAACGGGACAATTGCCTTCGGTTTTAGCTATCCCCCGCCTTAGGTTCCATGTGTCCCTCTTTTGGACATCCATGTAGCATAGCATATTTTATCATATACCAATAATCCCTCTGCTATCCGGTGACATAACTTTGTGTTACCGGGAAGTTGGCAGAATCACTCTTTTTGGCAGGAATTACTATGATTCCTTATAAAAAGCTTCTGACGGTTGATTAGACGCACGCCTCTCCGCATTTAATGTCCCGAACACACGTCATCCCACGATTCAACATAACTTTTATCGGTTATTGAGGTAATCATGGCCACGAATTTAGCCGCATAAACCTTTACTTATACGCATCAATCTCTTTCATTCATACTCCATAACTCTCCAAACTCTCTAAAACTCTTTTTATTCAACTTGCATCATGTTGTTCAACCTTTCTTCAACTCTCTTCAAACGAAAAAGCTTTTTCTTCTTCCATATAATGGCTTCTTCTTCAAAGAATACCAGTTCTTCAAAGAACAAGAACAAAGCCGGGGACTCTACTCCTCCAACAGTGGACACCATCATCCCTAGAAGTCTTATTACAACAAAAGACTTCGAAGAGAAATTTTCCTTTGTTAGCTCTCGTACATGGACTGTTAGTAGGTATCCTTCTTCCATCCGTTCTTCCAGCATTCCTGTTGTGAAGGAAGACTGTTGTACCGGGACCTAGCCATTTTTGCTCCCGACCTGACGGAGCGAGTAACCTTACCCAAGAAGGGATTTATGTACTTCTATACGTATCCCTTCACTTTGGGGACATTTTCTCTAAGTGGAGAGCTTGACTCTGTTATTGAAGAGTTTTGCCTCCGTTATCAAGTGTGTATGGCACAGGTAAGTCCCTCTGTGTGGAGGACGATTGCTTGCCTTTGGTGCCTGCGCCAGGAAATGGGAGAGGAGCTAACTTTAGCTCATGTGATGAACCTTTATTCCCCCAAGATCTTCCGTAGGGGATGATCAACTTCAGGAAGCGGGGCCATCATGCGCTGCTATCTAGCATAGATGATGATAACGATCGTGGGTGGATGGAACGGTTTATTTCAGTTGCCACTAGTGACATCATCCCGGCCTCGGCTTATTCATTCCCAGAACTATAGAACTGGACTCATGAGTATATAGTATGTTTCTTTCCATGTTAAATATCCCTCCATCGTCATTATTAACTCCCTTATATTTCCTACCTCAGCGGCTCGGTAGGTTACCCCTAGGGTTGAGGGCCTGAACCAATGGGTTCATAAGATTTGGACGTTACCACACCCGAAACGCGCTTGTGGAAAGATATATCTCGAAAATACGGGTGAAAGCCCCAAAATCATGGTAAGTTTAACTCGTTATGTCCTTACCTTTTCTTATGAGAAAATTATCTCACTCCTTCCTTCTGTTGAATTTAGGTCCACCCAAGGTTAAGTTATTATCCCCAAGGAGGACATTTTGGCTGACGCTGCTGCAAAAAGCCTTTTAACATACATGCATCTTCAGGCCTGCTTTTGTGCAAGTGCTTCTTCTCGGAGTCCCCGGCCAGAGAACAAACAACCAAAAATAAGGCGTTCCTCTACTGCCGGAGGGAAAAATTAGAGAGAAAAGAATGATGCCTCCGAGTCGTCTTCGGAAGTCATAGTGACGAGCCCTCCGCCCGGACCGATCATTAATACTGTGATGATTGACGATGATGGAAAAGCTAGCGAGGAATGAGCTTCTCTACATAGAAGACGATGACCTTCCTCAACTCAACAAATCGCTCAATCTATTGAGCTAGTTACACCAGCTGAGGACGATGTCTCGACGCTCTGGGGAGTATGAAATGGTGGAAAATGCTAACTCCCGCTTCCGTGTCCCAGTCGCTGCGCCCGATATTTTGGGGCTGAGTACCGGGTCCCTTCTGTCCTCGGCTCACGAGCAACCAATAACCAGCATTGCGTTTGTCGCAGCTGCTTCTCACCCTTCAACTCCATCAGCTTCATCTCCATCTTCACCAATACCAGCAACTGCTACATCATTTCCACCTTCATCAACTCTTCCAGCAGCAACTGCTACATTATCTCTACCGGTCGCATCTGCCCAAGAAGAGGGTGTCCTTCTCCCCAGTCCCTAGTTCATGAGAATTTGGGGCAAAACTATGCTCCCCCTCAAAAGATCCACAAAGAAGGAGGAGTGTTACTCTTTCGGTCTCCAACGGATGTAATTTGCTATCCTGGCCGGTGGAACTTGCTAACTATCTGAAGACAAAGGCTTCAGAGAAAGATTAGGAAAAGGTACATGCTATATCGGGAGAGTTCTTGTTGAACAATGCCAGGCACAACGCCGCAACGGTACATTCCTTATTTCCTTTGTTATTTCTTTTGCTTTTGCATGAAAATATCCTGAGTTTGCCTTTCTTACTTTGTAGGCCAACTTTCTTGCTTCCGAGGGCCTCCAAAGGTTGAATCGGGAAAAGGAAGAACTTACCTCCGCACGGGATCAACTTTCGGCCGAGCGGGAGCAAACTGTTGCTCGCCTCTCAGAATTGGAAGCCAAAGTTGCTGAGGCCATTGTATTGGAGACTCGTTTGTAGCAAAGCGAGCAAGAAGTGGTAACCCTTAGCCAAGAGATTGGCCTGCTGATGGTTAAATTTGACGAAGCCGGGGCCAAATGGGATGAAGTCCATAATGACGTTCTTGCTGCAACCGACCGCGATATTGCCTCCGCTGAAAGATTGACCAACTTAGATGCAACCTTGAACTCCAAAACTGAAGAGCTTGCTGCTGCGGGGGGTGAAACAACCCCAGTTGGAGGAGAGTCTTTCTTGGTGGACGAAATCTTCTCTCCTTTTAGAATTCTTTCTCCCACACAACTATCGAGCATAATAGGCTTTTTAGCTCAACTACCCGTGACCTTGATGTTAGCCTCATATCCATTACATCCGCCCGGGAAAACCTTTATGTCGAGGTAACCCAACTCAAAGAACAACTTAAAGGTCGAGCAGCTTACCTCGATATTGAGAAAACTTACGTTATGTGTAGCATGAAGAGAAAAACCTTGGAAGAGGCCAAAGCTGGTATCATTGACTTTGATGTCAAAATTGCTAAGGTCCGTGAGCTTGAGTTAGGTGCTAAAAGTGGTCTCCCGGCA